CCCCACCATGGCACTGAAATATGAGTGTGTAAAAATGCAACACTACAGATCCCATAATTATAAAAACAGAATGAAGACCGAGATAAATTGAACACCACACGCTGCTCTAATCTAAAGAACAATCAGATGCAACGTGTCTCAGTCCCATAAAAAAAAAAAACATAGATTATTCCTGCAATATCTGAAATAAACACTTTTGTACAGTATTAAGCCATACAAATCTCAATTTAGATCTAGTTGCGTTAACAAAACACAATTTTGGGGGCTAGCAAGTTCACTCTGAACAAGAGTTGGCAGAAATGATCTTAAATAAGAAGAAGACCAGGAAAATTTGCAGAATAATCTCGTATTTATTTTAAATAAGTGCCTTGGACCCCTTTTAATGAGGATTGCAGACTTCTTTTTTTAAGTGCAAATTGGAGAGCCTTCTAGTGTAAGGTATAATCCAGTTTTCCTGCACCAGTAAGTGCATTTGAATAGGCATTAATTACAAAATCACAGGTTCTCAATACACTTGAAACACAAAGCTTCTTAAACTCCTCGCCCACCTGATGATTTGTGTGTGTGTGTGTGTGTGTGTATATATATATATATATATATGTATATATATATATATATAAAAATTATGTTAGCTTCTTGTGCCCACAGTGGACAAATGTCCAACAATTACAAAGAAAACTTGAGTCTTGCAACATTTCACGGGGTGTAGAAAGCCATTGTTTAATCTTGGTAAACTTTTTTGGTCTCACTCTGCAATGGCGATTTATTGAGGACCCAATCCCCATTTTGATTGTGACAAGACCTAGGTATACTTTGTTCCATCGGATCCTTTTGTATTGGCTTCTTATGGACGCCACCCTGGCAAGTGCAAATATTTGGGGATTTATTTATTTTTTTAGTTAAATATATGCTCAAAAACAGCAAATATTTGTAGAATAACCCTGGCACCAATCATTTTGTAATACGCTGGGAAATCTGCTTTGGAATCTATGCTGTTTTAAAGGTATTCATTCTGCCATTATATTGTTTTTGTGCATGGCCATTGGTACAGTGAAAATAAAAAGTCTAGCCTTCTAATCTGGATTATAACTTAACCCACTATTAAGTCTTCAATCTTCAACTGATATGTGCTGCATTTAAATGACCAAAACTATTTATAATAATCAGGGTCCAAAGCACATAAGTATCACGATAAAGTGTCCATGTGTTCTCAGTCTCTTTCCGTTAGATTATCAAGCTGTAAACCTGTGTTCTATGTAGTGTACTTAGACCGCTTATGTTCCTGACAGAGTGATGCTGTCTGAACCATGTGTGTCAGACGTTCAATGTTTTTAATATTGTATGAATAAGGTTCCTAATTTGATAGTGAACTTTCTCAGACAGCTAAGCCTTTTACCCTAGTTTTACGGTTGCCCATGAACACTACTCATTTTATGTACCTGTCAAATATTGCTTTTACACATCTCGTGTACCTCCCTGCTTTAAAATACATCCTTCCGATCCGCCAACATCGCTCTACATATTCATCTCATATAAGCGTTAGATGGGGTTACCTTTGTATCTCTGTCTTGTCACACACACACTACTTTATCCACTTGTCTGTCTGCCTCCATATATTTTTTTTTGTTCATTATGGTTTGTCTATATTGTGGGTCCCCTTTTGAATGCCAGGCCTGTGTTACAGAGGATTTTCGCTCTGTTCTTCTCCGGGAAGTGAATAATCTGTCACTTTGTTAGTTGTGTTGAGATTGAGTAATAGAAACTTTGGGGGACTGGTTCCGTTTCAAACGTGAGGAAGCTTCAACATCTCCCACCACCACCACCACCACGTTGGACAGTCGGTGGGAATACAAGCGGACGTGCCTTTTTATTCACAAGTGAACAAGCTGGAAGAAGAAGAGGGGGAATATGAGAAACATACCTTCTGCTTTAGTTATGACAATGCTGTTAATTTTCAAAGATAGGTTTGTTTTCTCTCCAATTCTACTTTTTATTTATTTATTTTAATTTTATAGCTCATCAGTGCTATTTTCTTATCTCTAATGCTCCCCATGATGATTTCTTTATTTTTATTTTACTGCCCGATTCTCCCTTCCTCCCTCTCCTTCTCAGCGATGTACCTTGATGACATATTTTCAACAGAGGAAGCATTATACCAAGATAGGTGGATACCTGTTCTCCTGTGCCAGGTTTCACGATCTGGGCATTTGACGTTCAGCTCCACTTAATGCTAATGCATTCATTTACAAGAGCCCCTACTAAAAACGCAGTCTGTATTATATATTCTGTAATATTATCGTGTTGTCTGGAGGGTTCAGTCTAAACTTGTTTTATTGTTAAACAATGAGATAATGTCATTGCTGCTATAGAAGGTGTTAGCAGGGTAATTGTTGCTTTGTCACTCCCAATGTATATCGCTGAGTAGAACAGCATCTGTCTTACAGATCTTTAATGTAGGGGTTATTTAAAGATGGCCACCAAACTGATTCAATGTTTTTCCTTTGTGTACATGTAAATGAAAAAAGCAGGGAAAATATAACAAATGAATATTCCCGGTTGTAGGTACAGTAGCATTTCGCAGGCAGAGTTCTCTTGTGCCCCTGCTGTACATGTGAGTGTAGGTTTGTGCACTCACAGGAGCCATCATTGCAATGTCCAATCTGGTTTTTTTTTTGGTTTTTTTTCATCCACCAGGCTCCCATGTTATAAAATGCATGTAAAGACTGGCAGGTAGGATAATGATGATAAGAAATAGTCTCCTCAACAAATTTTCAAAGGTACCCAGAGCAAATATAAAATAGCGTCCCAGATATGGGAGCTCACATAATTCAAATTCCGATATAAATTTCAGAGCTTATATAGATATATATTTATATAGATAATTGACCACACAACAGTTGCTACCTTTTTATCTTTTGGCTTCGTTAGAGTATTTCCATATATTTTAATTTTTGCTTTACAAGGGAATAACATTTAAATTTTTAGTTAACTGTTTCTTTACCACAATCTTGTTAGTTTTTGTGTTCGTTGGCAAGCTCACTAGTAAAAATATATATATATTTTTTACCAAAAAAATCATAAATATTTAAGCCCTTGTTAAACTATTTTTAAAACAAATTCTGTGCATTTTTTTTCTGCATTTGTACATGAAAATATTTTTTATTTTTTTTATTTTTATTTCTGGTTTCTTCCCCAAACAATTCAATTTTTTTTTAAAGGCTATGAGGAGGAGAGAGCAGTCCGAGGTCAGTTCAGCAGAAACACAATTTTTTTACGGATATTCTAGACCTTGCATTATCTTTGCCAACCTTAATGTTTTTTACATTAATATTGATGCTTAATTTCAACTCAAAATGGAGGAATTAGCTGTTTAGACCATATCTGATTTGCTGAAATAAATCACTGTTTGTCGTCTTCAATTTGCTATATTGTTGAAAGTATCTGTTTTGGGGGAAATATTGATTACTTATGACTTATTATGTTGCCATCCTGTATAATCATTCAATTACAAAGTCTATTCAACAATGGACTTTTGTTGTACATCCACTATATTAATAGTATTATGACCACAGGAGAAACGGTTTCCCCTTTATTTTTCATTTTATGTTTTCATTTCAGTTTTTTAATTCCATAAAGGTACTAAAAATATGTTTTCTATTATTATTGTTCTATGTGGAGTGTACTGTTAGAAATTCCTCTGATTCTGTCTTTGTTGCTCATCGTTCTTTTTGTTCTCTTCATTTTTACCTCTCCCATGTTTGGATATTCTTTTGACTGAAGGATGCTGCTTTTTTATTGTTACAAAAAAAAAAAAAAAAAATTACATTTGTTCATTTTCCAAATTGTCTCTCTTACCAATTTTCTAACAAGCATGCTATCCTCGGTATTTCTAGAATTCTTCTCTAGCATATGATATTTGAGATGGGATTGAGGAGAAGGTGAAGACATTATTATACAAGCCAGTTCTAGGGCAGATCGTATGTCTTTATAAAATGAGGTATATTTAATTATTAATATTTTTTTTGTTATTGTATAAATGCTTGTGTTTTTTCACCCTTTGGTGGCTCCTGGAGTTTGCTTTGTTCATTGTGAATTCCCGTTCTCGCTTCTGCTTGTCTCAGATCCCTGTGTTCCCACCCGTGTCTGTTCTGTCTCAGGTAGGCTGCTAATCCTTAGCCCCCCACATTGGAAACTGAAACAAAACCAACCACATTATGGATAGATAAATATTCATTCTTTTTTTTAATTATTTTATTTTGTTTATATTTTTTGCTTTTTAGTTGTATTATTTCTGTATTTTTTTTTTTTTAATATACGGTACACTGTTTGAAATGTATTGTTGAGTATTACTTTGTAAGAAAATGACAATAAAACATAAAATTATTTCTTGTGTCTCCTATTCTCTGGATATATAGACAATGTAAAGCTGCAGACAAAGAAAATAATACAGTATTTAAAGACGAGTAGCATAGTAAATTATCTGCGTGTTATAAATAGAATTGTATTATGACATTAAAAGGCCACCATTAAATGGCTCTCAGCAGCAGTAATGGGGTGTCACGGCTCCTTCCCACAGTCTAATGTCAAACTACTTAAGAAAACTTTGGAATAAACTGGAACACTTTTCAAATGCCTTTCACCTTCCTTTGCCTCATTGATCATGCAGAATTCAAGGGACACTATAGGCACCAGACCTCTTTATCTCATTGAAGTGGTCTGGGAGCAGTGCTTTGCATGAGGATATCCAGCATAGGGAAAGCTTAATATGCACATCGTATGCTAGGTTACCCCAATCGCTGACATCTGAGTATCAGGTGAGTTAAAAAAAAAATATATATATATATATATATATATATATATATATATATATATATAATATATACATTTAACCCTTTATTCGCAGGGGGGGAAGGGTGCAGGGGCAGAGGGACACTATAGTGTTAGAAATGCAGTTTTGTGTTCCGAACACTATAGTGTTACTTTAACACTTCCACATATACCAGACAGCATTGCTTGGCTGAGATACCTGGACTTTCTCATCTCCTACATTCTCGGTCAATTGTTGCTATCCAGATTGGCTATCCACCTTGCTTGTTTGAGATGGCTGCAGTGTGGGGAGCTGCTGGGACCAGTCTACATCGATTTCCCCGATCCATTGCAAGCCCTGTACCACTGCTTGAGTCGGGATATGATTTTGCTCTGTAACCGTTAGAGACCACTAATGCTGTCCCTCCATTCAGATTAAAGGGGTACTCCAGGCACACAGACCACTTGGAGTGGTCTGGGTGCCAACTCACAATACCCTTAACCCTGCAAGTGTAACTATTGGGGGGTGGGGGGAGCTATGGCCCAGGCCTTGAACTATGTAAAGGGCCTCAAAATGTCTGATTGCTGCCTTGGCTGTAACCCTAGCATTCTCTCCCACTCTGCGCATCCCTATTCTTGAAGGATAAAATTAGGCAACGTCTGTTTTCCTCATTGCTCACTTGTATTACACAATGAAGCTGCTTGTTCTTAATTATAATAATCAATGATTTCTGCTGAATTAGGAATGTTTAAAGGGGTGTCTAATGGACAGGGTGCTTAGCCCAAGTTGCCCTGGTATTTTGCTTTAAATTTAGATAAAGAGAAGAGGTGTCAGAAAAGGGCAATGAATGTCCCTCCTCCCCCCCCCCACTACTTGGCAAAAGAATGAAACATGGTTCTGTTATGTCTTTTGATTTTCTATTCTGTATTGTAGATACAAATATCCATCTCACTATCTATCCTAGCTGTTCATATAAGGGTTAATTTGAACAAGAATAAATTTGGTATTGTATCTCCGATTCTCATAAATAAAATTTATTTAAAATCCTAGTTACGGGAAAAGTACAGATTTCAAAATTTTCTTGTTAATTGTCCAAGATTTTGGTATTTGTAAATATTTGGTTTTTATCAAATATGCACGCGTTATATAACGTAGGATATAACTAGAAACAGCTGCTCATAACTTGTGAAAAACAATCTATGTCATTAATGCTCATGGCCCCTACCAACATGAAAATGGGGTATAAACATAACTGACGTATAATAAAATTTTAATTGGTTATTGAACACGTCTCTGCTATTAATTTCCAATTTCCAGAGCTCTGAATGAGTTGGCAAATATCCATCATCCATAAAGGGCCTGGGCTGATTTTATCCCCAACAAATTGGTGTCAGAAGTTTTGGGTTGCAATTGGACAGAACAGAAATGACAGGTAAGAGAATGTAGTGTCTTTTACGACCTTCATTCTTTACCTGCTTCTCCCATCCCCCACACGTTGCATTTGTTATTTAAATGGGGTTTTTCACTATTTAAATTTTTAAAGGGGATTTTCACTGCATAATGTCTTTGATAGACATGATTTTTTTTAAGTCTAAGGTAGACTTTTATTACTCCTTGGGTTGGAGGAAAGCCTTTGGCCGGCAGTATTGTGCACAATTGTCTATGGTAGACAATACCTCTTTGGTTGAGGTTTACCTTTGGCAGGTGGTAAAATGATTTTCAAGCCTTTGGCAGGCTGTCATGTCATGTAATTTAATGTACATGTGTGTTTTGCAGACTAAATTGGTTTCAAATAAAAAATATTTTATTAAAAATATTTTAAATAAAACAAAAGGGGGGGGGGGGTTAAAAGGGAATATTGTTTAAACCCTGTATGATGGATGTTCGGCATTACTCCAGCTTGCTACTTTATGTGCTATTTTATGTAACTGTGCAACTCTGATTTTAAGCATAAAGTCTTAATTGAGGGAATGTCAAAGGTACATGTAAAGGTGATGACGAATAAGAAAAAAATAGGTTATTTAAGGGGGGCTACAAATTCTAGAACTAACATGATTTCTCTGCATGTATGTTTGCATAATGAGCCCTTTATTTTTATACTTGGACAAAAGTACTATAAGGCCACTACACTTTTTCATGAGCGTGGGATGTATGATTGTTTATATGATGAGCCCTTTATTTTCATATTGGGACAAAAAGTCACTTCATTCAAAATGTCAAACACCATATTCTTTCTGCCCTGTGTGTTTGTTGCAGATAATTCATGTTGTAAATGTAGATGATTATAAATTAGAGAGCAAAATTTATATTTTCAGCGGTCCAACACATGCTTCATTTTGTGCTGTAAGCTAACTTGTAGTAATCCAGTACGTCACATGTTGTATGTGCTTTAAATTGTATGTATTCTGTAGCATTGTGAAAATATGAAAATTGTTGTATGGGGATGCTGAGATTGTATAGATTGTGACCCAAACTGTGCAAAAGTGGGTTTGAAATTTTGGTCATGGAATGTAGGATCAGAAAACCACGGACAAAGGTTTTGCCATGCCTTTAACATGGAGTAGTATAAAAATATTTTGAGTTTTTGAGAGTTCTGACAAATGCAGGTGATACCATGTCTGTGTAAACTGGTCCAAATGTTCTATAAGCGTATGCGATAAATTTTATTGACAGGGTACATATGTTGCAACTTGTTAATGCAAGTGTTATACAAATGTTTAAGTCAAACGCGTTATATGGCTGTACGGGATCCCTTCTTTAAAAAGAAAAAAAAAACCTTTGGTACCAGAACTCTTAAATAAATTTGATATAAACTAAAATTGGTATACCTTACAATAATATGTTCTGAATACAGCTGTTAAAAGTTTATTCTGTGTAAATGGTGATTGTGATAAATGTGTGTTTTGGTTACTCATTTTAAAGTGTGCAGTTTAATTGTCATGTATGTTAATGGGTATTTTGTAAGTTTGTCTCCATATTGATACAGATGGAAATGGCAGTGTAATAATCTATTAAATAACTGATTTATTATTGAATACTAGTCCAAGAGCAATATGAGTTGTAGTCTTAAGAAAAAAGAGGGGGGAGGCTGTTTTTGTAAGTTTTAGCTGTTTTCCAAAATTCTGTTGCAATAATGGACTTCTTGACAAAATTCGACTTTCTTGTCCAGTTCCCAGTTTTTTGGGTCTAATCTTAAGGCAGTCCTGCTTGCATAGTTTGCAGAAATGTATAATGCACAAACATAGGAACCTACATTATGTCTGTGTTTCTTTTGAGGGACACAGAGTGTGACATTTATTAATTTATTTTGGATTGAGTTAATTGCCTGTCCATGAATATGCTTTTTGTATTGGCATGCCTGCTGGATATCCGCTACATTCGTTGTGTTCTGTGTTATAAGATGACATGTGTGATATTACAATGAGTATAAAGAATATTTGCATGTCATTAATGCAAGCCTTTAGTGTCTTTTTACAACAGATTAAATGCTGATCAGCTCACGAAAAAGGGGCCCCTGAGAAAGAAAAAAATATCTGCCTTTCAAAATCGTGGATCCACGTTTCCATTAGGGGAGTATTTAGAGTTAACTCTACTTTTAAAGTGCATTGCATTATTTAAGTCAAATAAAAATAAAAATTTGTTATTATTAACATAAACAATTGTTATGTTATATGGTTATATAACAAGAAAAATTAATAGATGTATAGGATAGGTTTTTTCCAAGATTAAGATTCATCTAGTATGCCTCATTGATTATAGCAAAATGATGAAATGGTATTTTTAATAGAGATTAGACAATTTCTTTTGAGGCAATTCTAAACTACTGTATTATATTTGTATTGGTATATTGAAAGCATTTTGCAGACCCAGAAGAGAATAAATAATATAATTATAAAAGGAACCATACTATGGGAAGAGGTCACCCTATTAAATCGCTAAGGGGTTAAACTCATTTTTGATAAGCATATCAAATTTAGTTTTTGTGGTTAGACTTTTGATACTCAATTTGAACTCAATTGAAGTATTACAACCATATCATTGCAAGTGTAGGAAACAGCTGCAATATGATTTTAATATTTGCCATATATTAGTGTTTTCAGTGTATTCTGACAATGGAAAAGTACCTAACCGCATGTCTGTATTACACCTATGACCCAGACTGTCAGTATTGCAAACCCTATATGAAGACTCTGCTTTCACTGTTTATGTATACACCCCTAGACAACCGTGCTATACATACACAATAAATATTCAAAAGCTTATTAATATTATATCTGTGTGGTACACAAAGAGGGGGTGTGAGTTAGGTAATCTCAACCTGCATATGGAATATGCTTCCTCCTTGTTCACTTTTGGTCAAACTGTTGGTCTGTGACTGGCCCTCTTTGATTCCAACTGAATTTCTTGAAGATTCATGAGAAAGATACAGCAGGTTGTTTTGATATAAAGAAAGAGGGAAAAGTATGTTGTATCGGTCTTAAGCAGGCGAGACAAGGACATTTGGGAGGTGATAGGAGATTGAATCAGAAAAGTTTTAGAGGCAGATGTAGAGGATTTGATCAAAGGGGTCTAACTTTTGTAGAGGTGGCAACTTCAGCACTGTTTTAATTTTGGATAGCAGGGATTCACCCCAAGGTGCTCGTGGTGAACCCGGTTCTCCCGGTCAAGCTGGCCCCACTAGTACTCCAGGTATTGCTGGTGCCCCTGGCTTCCCTGGTGCCTGTGGTACTCCTGGACCTCAAGGCCCTGGAGGTTCCCCTTGACCTAAGGGTAACAATAGTGAACCTGGTGCTCAGGGAAACAAAGGAGAACCTGACCCAGCTGGCGTTCAAGGACCCACCCTGGCAGGTTCCTCAATACCAACCACAGCTTGCAACCCATACCCACACCCAACAACCCCAGCCTAATACACAGATGGTTCATGTTTTTAATACTTTATATATAGTTTTGAGTGATAAAACAGTATTAATGCTGGCTCTTAGAGGATGTACAAGCTGAAGTTGGGACCTAGACATTGTTTGCATAGGCTGCGCAATGTGAAATAACTAAAATAAAATAGGATAATAGTAAGTATTCTTAGTCAATTTGTAACGTGGTATCATAGAGGCATCTGCAATAAAATAAATGGGTTTCCAAGACCTGACAAGTGAGGGCAACTTAATATAACATATGTCTACAGTTTGCTGTCCCTTCCTTTATCAGAGGCCACTTGCAAACTTAACACAGCAAGACAACTCTTCCGAACCCTGTATTAAACAAAGCACTTTAGAACAATAGTAATACATTTTGTTTCTCCTATTTCATTCCTAGTTGTTCTGACAAAAAGATTGTCTAAGTGGGATAACTGTACAGTATTAAAACATGATCACGCACATACAGAACTGGTGGCTTTTTGGACATCGGGATCTATAAAAGGTTTCGGTTTCCAAAGATGATATCAGGGTCCACAAAATTTCTGACAGACTTCAGCATTCCAATTTTATTAAAGTAATTAATTGAGATTATCAAATCAAGGTTTAAGTTTAAGAACAGCATTTTATTGGGAATTATTCCAATATGTATATGTTAGTGTTTTAGTACTCAACAAGCATTTATATAGAATGGGTGCTTCTCTCATCCATACAAAGGCATTATAAAGGGAAATTATATATTAAAATTTTATGAAGGACAAATTCAATTAATTATAAGCAAAACTGAGAGAAGTACATGTAACACTAGTTAAGAGTTTAACTTTAGTCTCTTATTTGAGTTTAGCCTAGATAATTAATGTATTGATGTCGTACTGATCCTTGTGTTTGTATGATTATAGAGACCGTACTGGAATATTTGTGCCGCCTGATATTTGGGACTACACACCAATCTCTCTGGCTGACCTACCTGCCTACCTAACTTTTTTGCTGTTTGGTCAAAATCCATGCTTACTTATGAGGACATAAACTAACTTGGAAAGTCCCGAAGGTGCAGTGCTGTCTAATGCCGCTATTTCTGTATTAGCCTTTCAACAATTGGGGTGTTGCACAGAGTGTTGTGGTGAACATCCAGCAAACAGAAGAATTAAGAACTATGTGGAAGCTGACATTGTCTTGTTGTCAGCCATATTGCTACCCTTAGCTATGTTATGGTGTCTAAGATTCTTTATACTCCTTGAAAGACTTATTCTATTTTTCTGGACTATTGCACTATTTTGTTAGTTTTATTTTTGTAGAGTTAGCCAGAGAGAGAGGAAGTGTTGGCTTACTCAGGCATGGATGTACTATATGTGTCATTGATGTATGTTGAGTGTACCAAGGATGGATTCCCATGTATTAAGTGTAGATATGACTGGACCATCGAAATAGGGATGTGAGTAGGAGACAAAGGATGCAAGGTCATGATTGGGATTATTGTTAGAATTTCAAGCTGATTATAAATTCTCATGATTTAATATGTAAATGGTCTTTTCAAACTAATCAAGAAGTGTTTCCCAATCCTGATACCCGAGCTATTTACTTACAAGTGCGGGTTTTATAAGTCACTAATGCTGTCAACGTGAGGGGGATGACATGTCTACACAGTCATTGCCCTTACTCTGGGTTTTCCAGATGTGCTTTTTTCCTCAAATATGAGTTTTTGCCACTGGGTTTTTTGACCTGGCCCGAGTTCACTGGGTGGACTGGTAATCCAAGACCCTGGTCCAAAGAGGGGGAATAGATATTATTCCTATTTTGACTATATGTGTTTACATTGTGAATTATAATAATAATATTCCCGTTGTTGGGAATAATACACTTTGCCTGTTTTGATCCAAGGCTCAAGTTACAGATAACATGATGTGCAGTCTGTTTAAAATTGGATAACATGTCAGCTGTTTGAAATATTTAACTTGTACACTTAAAAGATGTATTCAACAGATAATTGAAAAAGCTAAAAATGGACAGCTTGAACTCCTCTTAAAGGGAAAACCTACGGCACAGAGCAAATGGGGGAATTCGAGGTGAATAAATAACGAAAGTCCTGCAGACGTGATTAGCACGTCTGAATATACCTCCTTTCGTTTCTCTGCCGCAGGCCTCCCATGGATATTTTCCGTAAGGTAGATCATGATATGATCTAAGAGGGGAATTGTAGATACAAATATCCATCTCACTATCTATCCTAGCTGTTCATATAAGGGTTAATTTGAACCAAGAATAAATTTGGTATTGTATCTCCGATTCTCATAAATAAAATTTATCTAAAATCCTAGTTACGGGAAAAGTACTGATTTCGAAATGTTCCTGTTAATTGTCCAGTATTTCGGTATTTGTAAATATCTGTTTTTTATCAAATATGCATGTGTTATATAACATAGGATATAACTAGAAACAGCTGTTAATAACTTGTGAAAAACAATCTGTCATTAATGCTCATGGCCCCTACCGACATGAAAATGGGGTATAAATATAACTGACGTATAATAAAATTTGAATTGGTTATTGAACACGTCTCTGCTATTCATTTCCAATTTCCAGAGCTCTGAATGAGTTGGCAAATATCCATCATCCACAAAGGGCCCGGGCTGATTTTATCCCCAACATGTATATATGGACATTCTCCATGCTTCTGGACTTCCTAATCTTGATTTATAGACTTCCATAAACATTGGTAATCTATTCCTCCAATGTAACTAATGAATGGTAAATGTGTCTCCCCAAGTCAGGTGGTTGCACATGTTTTCAGCACATCGTACTTAATATAAAAAAAAAAGTCAATAAAAATTGCCCATGGAAAAACTATTGCTCAATAAATAATGTCAAACAATTTTCAGTTATTTCCATGTCTAACTATCAGATTTATGCAGTCTTGCAATAAAGAGTTACATTGCAGGATACTTCGAAAATATCTGTTTTGACGGATGCAGGTCACTTTTAGACTGCCGAATGGTTCCTATTTCGCCTTCTCCCTGCCTAATACTGTGTAATTAAGGATGGTCTCAATTTGCTGGTCATTTGCACAAAGATTACATGTTGCTCCCCGTGCCTCGCCTGGAATCTCTCATCGAGGCATAACGATGGCCTCTTGAAGAATGAGTAATCTCACAGAGAACATATTCGCCCTCAGGCCAAAGCTTCCTGATAATAGTGGAGCATCAAGATTTCACAAAGAGTCTCTTTGAAGGACTGTCTGATGGGGAAATTGCTGAAAAGCGTCAGATAGGTAGAGAGGTTTCTGGAGCCAAGAGGATCACACAGATAGCATGCTGCACTGTAGCCATTTGTGTCCAATTTCCATAAATAAAGTGAAGTGCTGTTAAACAATGCTGCTCTGTTGGCCCTCCATGGCTATATCTATTTATTTCTCTCCGCTGTCAGTGTTGGAATTATCGTATATAAGTAATGGGATTCGTGATGCAACATATTCATGATGCAAATTCTACAGGTCCGTTTAACGTGCAAAATTATGCACACACAGATAGGGAAAAATATGTCCAACAGTGCGGTGAAGGAATAGAACTAACCGTGGTCCTTCTATTGATTGATCTAGCTAATTAAATTTGTTTATGTGAAAGAAATGCTGATAATATTTGAGTTTGACATATTTAGGTTATTGAAGAGCGGGGATAGCTCATTCAGTCCATATTTACTAAATAAGTGAGAGTATGAATGATCTCAATGCAGCAGGACATAGCAATATCCTATTATGCGCATGGTTGCACCAGATAAGCAGAAATAATTTAATAAATACATTTTGTGTTATTTATAACGAGATTCTGGGGCTCAGTGTCACCAGAAGGAATAGTTATTTGCATCATAATATCTCCAAATTAAAGAGTTATTCCAAACCTCAAAACGACAGCCTGCTGATGGTCATGATGGTAGGAGTACTCTTGCATCATTCCCTCCCACCCCCCATGGGGGCAAACATTTCTACAATGGATTGCCCTCTTATTTGGACCGGCCTGGCTTCAAGGGACCAATGAGGGTGCCTGAACCATAGCTTTTGCAGAGCTTCAGACGTCTGCCAATCCTGCTGCTCATTCGTTGGCTGATGACAACCCAAAGATGCTGCTGGGGGTGGAGTTACACCTCCAGGTGCAAAGGGGTTAAACTCAGTATGTTCAATATTTGATAGCAAAACATTCGGAGTCCAGACACCATGACCACTTCAAATCAACTACGAAAAGACCAGGATTTTTGAAAGGTTTGCAGCCCACCCCCGCTAGTTGTCGGCCTCTAAATCCCAGAGTCAATGGCTAACACACGTCCGAAGGTGTGTAGCACGTTATTACAGTCCCAATATTGAATTTCTCTCCTGAACTGAGTTTGAAAATTTAATATTTTGACCTACAGCTGTTCAGCAAATAGCGAACCCAACAATTTCATTTTTTTTTTTTTTCCTTCATTTGTTCTTTTGTGTATTTGCTGTGTCAAGGATATTACCCCAGAAAAATGTAATTGGTTCTATTTGTGGCTTCGTTCCCAGGAGATTATTGATATTAAGGTAAAGGATACTTTTACAAAATGTATAACTAATAAAGCAGCCTTGAAACAGAAGTTTTATATTTAAGACACGCACAGGGGATTTATTTGTATGGTTAAATCGGTGGGGATGCAAAGAAAATCCTTTGACTTATTAGGAAGTCAAATGCAAATTCAAATCTCTCACAAGGTTACTCACTAAAGTGGGATTTATAGGGAATTCAAAATAAATTTGACACATTAGGACAAAATGGCTGACTTTGAGAATTTTTCAGCTGTTATACCTATAAATTGTAAATTATTTTTAAATTCCCAACAACTCTCACCTTAGTGAATAACCCTTCAAGTGTATTAAAAGTGAATTTTAAAATTCAAGATAGAATTGTCGAATTGGAAACATTCTCTGAGCCAGTTTAGTTCACAATCAATCCTCTCTGACCTAGAATGTGGCTTTTGAATTCCCAGCAATTCACACATTAGTGAAAAACTGTTTGAAGTCATAACTGATAAAGAATGTATCGCTAGAGGCAACAAAGAACTCTCAATATTAATTTGCAGCAATTAAAAATATTTTTGATCCCGGGAGAGGCGTATGCAGATTCTGTCACTGTTTGTAAGTATTCAGCTCCACAAGAAAAGGAAATTGCCTCAATCCTCACAGGTTAAGGACAATGTCCTGTATTCACACTTTACATCACAGGTGGGACATACAGGGGAAAGGGCTGGTTCAACAATAAGGGGTTTGTTTGCATCTGTGTTGATCCAGCCCTTCCCCCTATATCAGGCATCCCCCAACTCCGGCCCTCCAGATATTGCTGAACTACAACTCCCATGATTCTTTGAATGAAATAGGCTGAGAATCAAGGGAGTTGTAGTTCAGCAACATATGGCGGGCTGGAATTTGGGGAAGCCTGCCCTATACGTTGCAGCTTTGATGTAAAGTACAAATTCTGTTCAAATTCACACTTTAATAAATAACTGTAACTATGTGTGACAAATTCTCTTCAACCAAACATATCTCCCAAGACTCCCTATATAGGAGGGACAGCGCCTATTTTGGGCCCAAATCCCTTTGTCCCTCTTTTCTATCCTAATGTTCCTCTTCTGAGGGAGCTCTGTACTCTTGGTGTATCTGAATTTATACCAGAGCTTCACAGCAATAATACACACAGTAATGTGTCTTTAAATTACGATACATGTGTTTAGAAATCAGGCTGTGTAATTAAGATACATTGTTCTTCTTTTAAATTACATGTTAGCTGTGCAAATTATTATTCGTAAATCACCTACATTTTCTCCTAGTAGAATCTCTCCCGGCCACATCCCAACTCACACCTGTAGAATTAAAGTGTCCTCCTTTGTCCATTTGGGAGGTGTGAATATCTTGTGCTTTCCTACACAGGCATGAGATGTATGACATGATATCTGGCCAGTTAATGGTTAATTTTGATAAGTAAGACACCGATCCAGCACACAGTCAATAAGAGGCCGTGTTAATGTATAAAGCATTGAAATCCCAAATGGATGCACTGAAAACATCTTCTGATCCTGAGAGAATAATTTTTTTTTTACATTGTGTGTTTTGGCCTCAGTCTCACGGTGTAGATTGAATTTGTTCAAAGACGTATTTCCTCAATGCTATTACCAGCCATAACAGTCAAAATGAAAATCAATTTGGTGTAATAGAGGCGGTACTTTCTGTACTTTATGGATGGAACGCGCGCTAAACATGAAGGTATAATTATAGGCCACAAGGCAGGTAAACGGTATTTTATCATTAATTATACTAATGCTTTCATATACAGTTCAGCACAATATGTCTATTGAAGCACAAATTGTATAAACGGAGCTGTTTATCCTCCCTCGAGCACAAACCTCTAACCCCTTTAAATCAGAAAGGATCCATGCCCAAGGTATTATATTCACCTGTACTATCATGCAAAAATCCACTCCAACGATGTTTCAGCAACTCAATTCATATTCGCATGCAGACGTCAAGTGGTTAATTTTTTATTCAACCCAAGCTAAATTAGAGATACCCCTGCTGGCACATACATACACTCAGATACATACACTAGCACACACACATACCCACACTGGCACACACAATCTGATACCCACATTGGCACATACACAAATGTACATACACTGGCAAAGACACTCAGATACACACACTAGTACATATATACACACACAGAATCTGACATACACTGCAGCCACCTGGTAGCTTGCCTTTTAGTGCCTGGGCTGAGGCTGATGGGAATGAGCATGGAGCAGCAGCTCACTCCCTACTGCCTGCTCTGGTGCTGCCTCCAGCTTCCTCCCTCCCGTGGCTGTATTTTTTTAGCTGGGAGGAAATTACAGCATCCCACTTCCTCCCAGCTGGTAGATACTGCAGGGGCCCAATCAGGCTCTTAAAGGGCCAGGCCCCCAACCGGGCTCATGCTCAGGATCAATACCCATAAGGTTGGTAATGAGTTGAGGTCATTTATAATGTATACTAAATCTTGGAAATCAAGCTCACACAATCTGACACACATGTCAGATTGTGTATGTGATTTCCGGGATATTACACATGGTGTGCGGGTGTCCGGGAACCTCATTAAAAATGCGGGAGTCTCCGGGACCTACCGGGAGACTTGGGATGTCTGACTAACCATTGCATACCAGGAACACCCCACAAGACTTGCCATGTTAGAGATGCTCTGACCCAGTGGTCTAGACATCACTATTTGGCCTTAGATCTTTTGCTTGTCCATTCTTCCTGCTTCTAACACATGAACTTCAAGAACTGACTGGTCACTTGCTGCCTAATATATCCCACCCCTTGATAGGCGCCATTGTAACAATATATTCAATGTTATTCACTTCACATGTCAGTGGTTTTAATATTGTGGCTAATCAGTGTAGAGCTTTACACATTAATTACATTTTTTCGGGTGGTGGGATGGGTGTATTATTTATTTATCCATTTATTGATCTCATTACCCTGTTAGCATGTATTAAAGGAATATGTTTACCCAGTGTAAACTTTCAGTTCTCAAACGGCATGACTAACTTACCTCGCTCCTGTAGGCCCTTGCTTTTGGATCTCCTTGCAGAATAATCTAGTTAGTTTAGCTG